AAAATTATTCACATTTAGAATGAAAAACACCTCAGATTCATTAGTCTGAAATAAAGTGTGAAGCCAAAATGGAAAAGCTCTGTGAAAAAAAAACTGCCTTTAGCCACAATAATAATCATAATGCTCTCTGTTAAAGCGGATCCATCGCCCACATTGTGGAGGAGGAGGAATTTTCACTCACTCTTTGCAGTATTGCTCCAGTTCATTAAAGGTTTACAGACTTTTGTTCTGCATAGCTCTCTTAATGGGGCCTCATCAAGTACTATACCCCCCCCCCCCCCCCCCCAAAAAAAAAAAAAAAAAACACCAACAACAGGATTTAAACCTGGATTTCTTTTGCTTATATATATATATATTTTTTTTTTTTCTTTCCAAACACAAGCAGGAGTGCTACGGTTCAACATTTCCACTTTAGTTCCTTCTGTCCTGCATTGTCCTCGTATGTTCATACTGAGATGATATTCTCCTAAAACTCTTTACTTTTTTTCTACGTAAAATAGTTTTGCAACACAATCTTTCCTGACTGATTTGCAGCACTTACTGCTTCTAAAAGGTCATTGCTCTAGTCGGTCTATACTCACCTGTAAGCTCCAGATCAACAAACAAACCGCCTGCTTTAATTATTGCCATCCCATTTTCTACTGTCCCTTTCGAATCCTAAAGAAGCTGCAAATTGGAGAACTGGGAAAACTCTGGATTTATTAACAAATCTCAATGTGCTTAATTTCTTTTGGCTGTTTTGGATAGAAAAACTAAAGTAAAAAACATTTTGGTGGCTGTTTGCATGTTGCCAAGAAGACTTACTCAAATATGTATTTTTTTTCTCCCCTTTCTGCTCTTTTCTGGAGACATAAGTTACAAACAGCAAAGTTTTTCTTCCCCATGACTGCATATTGGTGCAACAGAGAGAAGACGGTGGTCTGAACACATAGATGCACACCAGGAATAAAAACCAGGGAGGTCCACAGAGATGAGGAGAGAGATAGTCAAACAATGAGAAATGAAATCAGACGACGCAGACAGTAAACTGGAGCATGAGCTAAAATAACACATTATTCTCAAGGCATGCATCAAAACACAGGAATATACACAGCGGCTGTATATTCTCTCCCAGTTAAAACACAAAGCCACACCAACGCCAGGCAACAGGGATGTAAAAGGTTTACATTTGGCAGAGAGAGAGCAGTACCTATTTATGACAGGGCTTTCACTGGATGGATCAACACACTCACAGGGAGGGAGGGAGGTCCCAGTCAGGCAGCCAGCCAATAGGAACAAGAGAGGGGAGAGGGGTTGGTAAATGGGGGGACGGAGTGTGGCAGGGGGGCGGAGGAGTTTGTATGCAGCTGAATGGGGATCCAGGGAGCTGCACAGAGCTGGGCGCCATTTTTAAAATCAAAGTTTGTTTTTATACCTTAGTGAGCTGCAACAGGGTCACCTCTCATGAATCATGAAGAAGAAAAGCATTTAATGACTGAGACAGAGCAACATGTAAAGGACCTCATCAGCTGCCTTCAGCATTAATAATCAGTGCTTTAGGTCAGAGCTGATTTTACTCTAAACTGTAAACAGTTTGGCGAAGATATATAAGATTCCTGCAAAGAGAATAAAAATGTCAGCAGCCAAACAAAATAACCCAAGGATAGGAGTGTCTGTTTTAGTTTAAAATATTGAATTCTTTTAATAAATGGAAAGAAGAAATAAAAACAGTTTCACTACAACAGGCAAAAAAGCCCACTATTTTTTCCACTAAGTTTAAACTGATGAAAAAGCTCTGAAATTTGACATGCATCTTAAAAACATTAAAGATAAGCAGCTGTGTAGAGTCAATTCTGATCCATTATTGTTGCAGACAAAGAGAAAACCTCTTAATCAAAAAAAGATTAAGATTACAGTTTTCTCTGATTTATGCTGATCTTTTTTTCAGGTTTTTTTATTCTGAGTAATTCTTTTTTTTTTGTAAATCTCTTTCTGGTCTGCTGGATGTTAGCTAACAATTTTACTATTCAATGTTGGCGTGAGGATTTCCATTCACAAAGTGTCTTCTTTGATTCCAACAATAATGGAACAGAATTTACTCCATACGCCCTAATAAGACTAAGATAAAGACCAACAATGCAGCACAAAGAAACTGATGCAAACAGACAATGACGTCCACCCGTCCAGCACTCATTGCAGTGATTTCATCTTTTGTTAATCTCAGAATAGAAGGAAAGTTGAATTCTACATTTTCTTGAAAAATAATTTTTTTTTTTATTATTTCTCAAATTGCACAAACAGTTAAAAGATTCCCCAATGTTGTCAATTCCTCAACAAGAAAGAAGACAAACCTGAAAAGCTGAGCCTGACCAGCTAGGCTTATAAGAGCATTTTAATCAATGCTTAGATGTCGGATGTGTTTGCTGCGAGGAGAAACACAAAGAAACTAAACCATTACATCAGGTGCTTGTTTTCTGCGTACTTCAGCTGCATGGTTTGATTTGTCCAAGGGGGCATTGTTTTCCATAGTCATGCAGTTCATTCAGATAATTTTCTGACTATTGTGAAGATTACCTGCTGTCTGACATGAGTCGTGCTCCCTGTAAAATGATGAAGTCCAGGTTGTTTGGAATAGGGCTGCTGCTCTAAAAGCCCTTACATGATGAATATGGAAACCTTTGAGCTTTTTGCTCATCTCTTTCCAGCTTGTTTTTGTGCTAAGACACTGAGCAGCTAACTGCATAAAACCCAGCAGTTACGGTGTGCTGAAGCAGCTTTCTCATTTTGTTTAATAAATAAAGTGTGTTTGCACACAAAGTCAGATCATTACTAAGACAAACCCTGATTCACCTCATATAAGGAGCTGATATATAAAAGGGGGTTTGCTATATTTTTAACCATAACTCTACTTTGGTTCAAACTAAATCTTGCAGCAAAAAAAACCCTACTTGGCTGGCTTTTCATGTTTGTTTTTTTATATATGATTTTGAACTATTATTGTGTTGTATGGATTTGCAGTGAGGAAAAATTATAGCAACGCTTACAGTCTATAAACAGGGAGGTTGAAAGGACTTTGGTCTTATTGCTTATGAACGTAATTTAACGATCAAGCAGACTCTCTTATCCAGATAGTAGAGAGGGCAGCGATAAGCCTGCTGGAAGAATCACATTTTGCACATGGTTCAATTAAGAACAAGGTCCAAAGGCTGCAGGCGTGACAGGCATCGCCACAACACTCTGCTCAACAACTTAGGTTAAGGAAAATCAGCTGCTTCATTTTTAAGGCCTCCACCTTAAGACGAAAGGCCAGTCTTCACTGTCCAGGTTAAAATGAATCCGTTAGGCTATCTGCTGATAGAAAATAGGCTGCAGCTAAACTAGGATGCAACACATTCATGCACATAAATGAGAGTGTTTTACGAACTTTTTCTGATTTTAAAAGGAACTAGAAAAACAGGTGTGAGCCACACTGCATGGAAAACCAAGTAATGAACAACAATACTCTTTTAAAAAGAGAAAAAACTCTGCATCGGGATTTAAACCGCAAAATTTCTGCTCATAAAAATACTTTTATGATCTTATAACATGCAAAATATCTGAACCTCTTTAGCTATTTTACACATCTTTCTCAAATTTAAATGTATTTTAGTGGCATTCAATGTAATAATCCCAAACAAATTAGCTCATTATTGTTATATAAAACTAAATTGATAAATTATTTGTTTTTTACAAATTAAAGCCTTGTAACTGGCATTCGGACCCCTCTGCTCCTAAAACCTTAAAATAAAATCTGGGCCAGAAATATCTTCAGAAGACAGTTCTCCTTAAATGGTCTCCTCCTTATGTAGTTAAGCCTCATTATAAAATCTGCTGTGCTTTGAAGGCCCCAGAGGTTTGATGGAGGACAACAGAGAACAAACAGCATCAGGAAAACCAAGGAACACAGCAGACAAGTCAGGGAGAAAGATGATTATAGCGGGGTTAGGTTACCCAGCTTCATCACAAGCTTAGAGCATCATTTAGAGTGATGCGCCTCATCTGCCTAAAGGAGAGGATAAAGCTACAGAGACATGGCCATCCGCCGGAATCAACCCAGAACGAAGGCAAGAACTGCGTGAATCAGAGAGCCAGCCAAGAGGCCTGGAAACTAGGCAATCAAAAAAACTGAAAAGTCACAGAAAAATTCAAGAAGATGCTCCGCTCAAGAGGGAAGGGCAGTAAAACAGCAACATGGTGAGACATGGTAGTGGAGTCATCATGCTGCGGGGATGCGTTCCATCAGGAAGGACAAGGAAACTGGTCAGAGTTGGTCAACATCTCTGCCCTTGAACCTTCGGGCAAAGGTCTGCGGAGGTGCGAGCCTGCCAGCTCCGTGCAATAAAAAAGTTGCTGTGTAAAAGATTTTTTTATAACACCTTGATTCACGAAGGCTTTCCCTAAAGCTTGTCTTGTTTCTTCTTGTCTCATTTTATTACTTAAAATCCCAACAAAAGTAAACAAAAAAAAATCCAGTTTGGTTACATGAAAAAATGTGGAAAATTTCAAAGGTGCCACACTGGCCTCCAGCGCTGAAGTATCTCAGGAGCCTCTAAGCCAGAAACGACAGAAATAACTCAGGTGGAAACTTCTCAGCTTTAAATAGCATGGAGTGTAGACATTTTATCTCAAGTGGGTCCAGTGGAAATAAAAACCCTTTATCCGTCCATCAGGACCGAATATCTTTGGTTTAATGCGCTCCATTCAACCGCTGTCACTTATGAACAGCATCAAACTAACATTTCAGGATCCTATCTTTATTTTCCATAATCACAGCTTTAAACTTTAAATATATTCGGTGGATTTAAGTGGAATGGCTCAACCCATGCATCTGCACCCAAGTTGACAAGCTGAGAAATTAACAGTTTTTTTAAATAATTTATAGCAAAATGTTTCATCTTCGGTCTAAAATAACTAAAAATCACATTAGAGTAAAGAAAGACCAGACAGCATAGAAAGCGTGTGCACAGCAGGGAGAGGCGTACCTTAAAGGCATACTTGCGGCTGATGTGATCTTCGGGTCCCACGGGTGAAATGACATAGCTGGGCAGAGGAATACTGCCCAACACCGATTCCTCTCTGCTGTCTGCGGACAGAGAAAGAGAGAGGGAATGGAGGGAGGGGCAGGATAATCAGGGCGGGGTAGGTGAGGAAAAACAGCCATAAAGATAGAGAGGAAAGGAAGGGCCAATAAAATAAGTATCACTCATCACCCACTAATTTCAGCCCTGCCTGCCACCAGTATCATAACACTTACATGCTGTCTCGGCTTGGACGGCGATGTGCCAGAAGCTAAATGAGCAGCAGAGTAAACGCCGCCGGCTCCAGCTGGCAGCCTGCTACTTCCCCTCGCTGACATCACCCCAAACGCACGTTTATCTTTCTATATTAGTAAGGACCGTGACTGACAACATCCAGATCCTGACCTTTCACCCTCAGTTAGTCTGAACGCTTAAAGCTGCTCATTGAAAAGTAAAACATCCCTCTAGGTTTACACAACCCTGAACATTTACTGTCCACCAATACTGTCTCAGAGAATTACAAGATGGAGAGTGTTTAATGATTAATTCATGATATAAAAAGGTGTGCGTGCCACATGTTGGTGACTCTGAGTGTTTGGATGGGAGGTGATAAGTGACGCCGTGGATTTAAGGGTCAGTTAGTTAAAAATAAAACAAGGGTCTTTGGAGGAGGCATTCCGTAAATGGTGGACGGGATGCCATGCCGTGTCTTTGCTTACTGGAGCACCACCTTCCACACATGGAGTAATGCTGAGCTGGTATGAGTTCAATTACAAACACACATTATAAGCTGGAGTTTGAATAAAGTCCGACAAAAAGCTGGACTTTATTGTGACATGAGTGGAAAAATGTGTTTCTTTTTTAAAAATCACCTCTGAGTCATTAAGTAAAACCTGCAGAAAAAGTTTCAATGCATTTAGAGTATGGTTCAAAAAGGTTTGTACAACTAATGGCTTAAGTTGTGTGTTCTTCACAAAGCACACAGTCCTGAGGTGAAGCATCCCTGTAGCATGATGCTGCCACCACTATGTTTTCTAGTGTTAGGGACAAAATAATATTTGGAGTTCTGGCAAAAAAGTTGCTTTTTGTTCTGGCTTTTAGCTGTCCTGACAGACTGAGCTGTGCCTCTCAGCAGCTCCTCCAGGGTAACCATGGATATTCCCCTGATTAGTCCTGTCAGATTAGCAGGTGGACGGCCATGTCTTTGCCGGTGTAAAACTGTCTCATACTGTTGATTTCAGGATGAGGAATTAACACTCTGAAACAGGCTGGACCAATCATAGCACGGGAGGCGGGCCCATGATGCAACAACGCTTTTCTGTAACCACAACAGTCAAGATAACAGAGCAATGTTTTATTGATGCTCTTATTGTTATATTAGAGCTGTTTGGATTAGTTCTGCAACTAATTATTTTGCGAATTGAGTATTTTCTTGATTAATCGACTTCTAATCAGAAGGCAAAAGGTTCCTTAAAGAAGATCTTTTACAGAATTAAACCAGGTGAAACTAAAACATTTCCACTTGAGGAGTTCTGGATAGAGCAGATTCATAGACGAAAACATTTTCTGTCTTACATGCAAAACTTTTATACATTTTTTTACAATCTTGGTATAATTCCTGTTCTAAGTGTGTCGCTCTGTCAGCCTAAGTCATGTTTTAAAGTCTCCACACTCCAGTTAATTGATTACTAAATTAGTTGACGATTATTTCAATAATCGATTAATCTTGATTAATCCGATTTATTGTTTTAGACAAAGTTTGGATTATTACATTTTAAACAACTGGCTGCTTTCAGATGTTTTCTTTGAACAAAAAGGTGTTTTTGCTTCACATCAGTAGTTCTAAACTTCTTCTGCAGATTCTTGAGTCCTGCCTTTGAAATCAGGCTCTATTCCCTTCCTTTCCAGACTGATGTGCTGTGAAAATGAGTCTGGCTGGCGAGGCGAAGAAATGAATTTGAGAGTTATGAGAGTTATTCTTTTTCAGCTGTATTAACAGCAGTGATGAATTCTGTAACATAAATACAAAATATCAGATAATATTGCAACAATAACACTTTGAGGGACATCAGTTTGGTGATTTAAAGAAGATTGTAGTTTTATGCAATATTTCATTTAACGCAGTTGACTTTTCTTTGTTGTACTGTTGAAAAATATGCAGGTCACGAAAATATTTTGGGGCATCCAAAAATAAAAGTCTAAGAACCACTGGTCTAAACACAACGGCTGTAACTATACTAATCATACGGGGACTTCTGAGGTCATCTTGGAATTAATTCAGGGTCTAATTAATAGGGTCATATAAGACTAAACAACAGCATTAAATACATCAGATGTTTTACTGTGTTTAGTTGTTAAGTACTTTGCTGTGGTCTATCAGAGATAACCTCTGCAGAAAACATCACAGCTGCTGGTTGTAATATGACTGAAACAGAGGGGAAAGAATAACTTGAGGTACAGTTGTGCTTATTTAATATTCATCTATAAAAATAAAGGAATACTGTGAAGAAGAGGGATGCAGTTAGAGGAATGTTTCTGTCCCCTGCGTCCTCTATTAGCACTCAGTAAGAACTGTGTGTGTAAATGTGGAGTTCGTACCTTGAGCATGCAGATCTTTCTCATGGAAAATTTCATTACAATGAAAAATGAACACTTGGCATATTACAGCATAGCTGCTTCAGTTATTGCAGCCCAAACTGCCAAAGACAATATTTGACTTCCAAAAAAGAAAAAAAGGCAAAACCAAATTTTATTAAGCAAACCCAATTTTAGGTTAATTTAAAGGAAATAAAGCATGGCCTCACCTACTGAGGGCTGAGAGCGGCTTAAAAGTAACAAACACTGCAGAGAGTAAAATGAGGGACCGCTGAGAGATGCTTGCAGAGGTATGTGAATCACTGTGAGATGAAGACATATTTACAGAAACTTCAGCAGGACCTCATCCACTGTGGGGTGGAGGCTAAAGAGACAGACGAACCATTCCAGTTCAGATTGAGTTTTTAAAGAATAATAAGGGTTAGATGGATGGGCATAGCAAGTGCTGAAAGAAGCATAAATGATTTTGATTATTGCTCATAGAACACCACCGTAAAATTCTGCCTTTCTCTCACAGATTGAAAGATCCCTCCATCTAAAGTAAAATAAGGTTTCAGAGATTTTTTTGTGTGTTTTCCACACCTTAATAAAACATAACCTGCAGTTTTACTGAGACATGCACAAGCCAGTCTGTGTGTCGCTCGCATCTATTGGTGAATCACCTCACGTCTCACACAAGATGGTGTAAAGGTTCACACTTAAATGTTTCAGGCCCTCTTTAAAATTTCATACCAGGCCAAATTTAATAAATAAGACATTTTTAAAATTTCTGTCATGAAAGAAAACAATGTAGCAATAACGGCCATATTTGAGGGTTCTGAGGGGAAAGCATGGACAAATAAAAAAAAAGAAATAGTTCATATAAACTCAAAGGCCTATTCACATTAGCCAAAAAATACTTTTATTCTGAGGACTGAGGAGATCAGAATGAAACTGATCCCCAGTCACACCTTGCTGATTTAGCCAGTGTATGCCTGATGTCTCAGAATCTTCTAAAATGCTGGCATACGCTGAACTTTATGCATTTCTTCGATTTTGGGCGTATACACAGAGTATTCATAACGAGTCCAGAAGTTGTGTCCAATGACAGCCTGACTTATGCATAACGAACGGCAGCAAAATGCCCATGAAATGTCACAACCCTGTGTCCTTAGGGGGGTGCCCGCAGGTGCCCGGCTTGCATAAAATGCACAAGAAAAAGATCTCTCTGAACTTTGTAGTTGTGGTATTAATAACTAGCTGCCGTTTACAGCCTGCTTAAAAAAAAAAAAAAAAAAAAAAAAAAAAAAAGAGAGAATCTGCTGAATCTGTTTGAAGTCGCAGCAGATTTTGTGTCATGTCAGCTGGGAAGTTTGTTGGTCATGGCTGTGCGCTTGAATGCAGGGAGGATCCATCACACTCATTCATACTCACCATATGATGGGAATGATAACACCACAACTTATGAGTAACTTGTACTTAACATGTGTCAACGATCAGGTAACTTACCTGTAAGTTATGGCGCACGAATGAGCATACGCTGGCATACTTTGGGACGTACTTCGCCATGTATAAGCATGCTAATAACATACATAAAATGTACCCATAACTTATCCAATAAACAGCAGCGCTTTTACAAAATTTTTCTTATGTTGACATAGGCTGGCTAAATCATCAAGGTGTGATAGCGCCGTACTAGTACGGTAAAAGAAAATCCCATCTACAATCAAAAAACAGGATGATGGTAGCATCATGGTCTGGGACCGTTCTGCTGCGTTCAGGAGCAGAAAGGCTATTTCGATGGTAAGTGGGATTCGAATCTGAACCAGAATGTAAAATCCTGAAGAGGGCGGTCCTGCAATCGGTTCATGAGCTTAAGCTCACATAAAAAATAAAAACCTCAAAAGAGATCAATTCAGGTAATTAAAACATTTTGAGACCAAACTCCTTCAAACCCTCAACATGTTATCTCAAACACTGATGGAACAACTAGTTACTAGGTTTGAAATGTAAAGGAATAGATGACAATGTTTTATTTGCTGGTGGATCATCTAAATAAGTGGTCCTCCTAGTTGTGCTACGTGCTTGTCCCGTTAGCTATCATTTCCTGCGCATGCACACTTTCAGGCGTAAATCTGTGGTGAGCTACGGTATTAGACAGTCATTGAAGGTCACCTTTCTCACCTTGGTTCTTTAAAAAATGGCAGAGGGTCGTAACAAAAAAAAGTGTCTACGGAGTGTATGTGAAGAAAAAAAAGCCTCGGTAGAGGCAGATACATCCCAGAATGCTTTGCACGGAGATTTCTCCTCGCAAAGCATTATGGGATGTGCCGTCACAGCGGCCTGCTGTCACCATAGCTACCCAACAGCGGCGACTAATAACAACTGAGGCGCAGGCACCATACAGTGGAGGATGAGTTACGTGACTAATGGTGAGCAAAAAGCAGTGATCACCTTTCTAAACGGTCAGTTAAATGAATTTGCTATAAAGTCCATTATATAGTCCCCACTGTATATAGTGATTGAAGAATTTAGTGGTTAGGGTGGACGTTCGGACACAGCTTGTATGAGCTATGAGAACAGCAACTTTTAAGCAGAGCATGCACAAGGAGAAATGGGCTTGTGCATGCTCTCGCACGCGTTTAATAGGTGTTTGCTCTCTGGAGCAATACATGGTTGTGCATGTGCTTTTTTTTGGTGGGCGGGTCTTTTAAAAACTTCAAGAAAATCCTCCACAATACCTTTAAGATAAGCATTTTTCCCCTTATTAATAAACATAAAATAATTGCTAAAAAGCTGCATTTTTGTATTAACTTAGTTTATTTTTTACTCAAATTTTTATCAGAGACATTCAAATGTAAAAAAAAAAAAAAAAAAAGAAACAAGAGGAACCCTGACACAGATGGACCGAGCCCTAATGCCCCAAGAGAAACCAACACACATAAAAATAACAGGAGGAAAAGAGGAAAGTGTGGTTGTCTTTGTAAACATGAGAGATGAAAGGAACACAGGAGCGGGGCTGGGGACAGATGAAGGCTTTTCATGTTGAGAGCAGAAACCTTTGAATCAAGTGAGAAATGAGACAAAATGAAACGCCACAGAATCGATGTCACCCTGCTTTTTAAAATCAAGCTGACAGGATGAGCGACTCCCAAAAGGTTCTGTTAAAAATATGGAGATGAAACATGTGGAGAGGCAGATTAGGACAGGGCGAGGACAGAGCCCAGTCGTTACCGGGTGTGTGATGCGTGCGGGTTCTTGTCGCATATGTCTTTCACCAGGAATAAAATCCAATTAAACGACGCCAATACTGATTTACTGCCTCCTTTGTCAGCCCTACTTTACAAAACCATGATAATGTCGTCTCAGCCTCGGCACTTTTATCCACATTTTAAGCAGTCAAATCCAAAGTAAATTTTTTATATAAATACTGGCTTTTTAAATTTATTGCAGGTTGACAGGCGGTTCTGGAAAAGTTTGACAGTGACGTCTAATTACTGACAAACCCAGACAGGCATTTTAAATTTCAAAGTTTTATGTTTTTAAGATGTATTTTTTAATGGCTGATCTCAGTGGGTATTTCAAACTATGATTAGCAGCAGAGTGAATAAAGCTTTATAAAGAAATGTAAATTAGAGGTGCACTAAGAAAAAAAAATGGCTGATTTTACAGGAGAGTGGACCTTTACTGATCTAAAGCAAGTTAATGAGCATTAACATGGTGCTGTCAAGCATCCCACACAACACCCTTCAGTGTGCAAGAGCTGGCTGTAAAAGGAAAACTTTTTCAGTATCAGCAATATTTTATATAATCCAGTCAAGGGATACGTTTTATTTTCAGTTTTTAATCATTTGATTCATTAAACGTAAGGATGTTTGCACAGTTATCGGCTTATCCTGGATAAGGTAATACAGAGTGAAATTTATTCCCTTATTCTTGCAAACAAAGAACACATTTTGTAAATTGACATTTGAAAAATATCATTTTCTAAATAAAAAAAATAAATATATATATATATATATATATATATATATATATATCGCTCCAGATATTAAACTTTGAAAGTAGTTTGGATCAAAAAGGTTTTTACAGCAACTTTGCTGTTTTCTCAGTTTTTGTTTGATCAAATTTCTTTAATAAAGTTTTACATAATCAAATTGTATTTTTTCAAACTTTTTTTTTCCTTTTATAAAATTTCTTTCTTTTTTCAGATTTGTTTTACAAATTGCTTTCATTTCAAATTACTTTCTCTCTTCTAGAGGCGGGCTTTCCTCTGGAGTAAGAAGCGAAAACATATTTCTATTGCTCTGCTGGACATTTGCAACAACATTTTTATTGGTTCATGTGCTAATTCAGAGCGAGTGTTTGCATTGGACCTGCAGTGAAAAGGAAATGATTTGTAAAAAGCAAAGAAAGTTGTAAAAGTAACTTGCAAAACTCAATCTAAAAAAAAACTGAAAGTTGAAAAAAAAATGAAAATATTTTCTGTAAATTGGAATTTTGAAAAATGATATCTGTAAAGAAAATCCTACAAAATTCTAATTACTTTGAAAATGCTAACTTTTTTATTTATTTATTGATTATTGATTTGTCAATTTACAGAATTTCATGCTATTTCAAATTGCCAATTACTCAGACTCACCTTTGTAGTAGAAAAGGCAGAAATCCGCCAAGACAAACCACTTCCTCTTCCATAGACGCATCCCAGAGCTGTCCTGTAGAGAAGAAAACATGAAAAACCATAAAAAAAAATGTCCCTGCAAAGTTAACATACTACATGAAGAGAGAAGGAGCATGGGGCAATCAGTAGGCAATGAAGTAGGAAGAAAATTTAAAAAGCTGAGAATATCTAAGAAATCTGGTGGATACATGAAAAACACATTTTGGTTAAGAGAGAAAACATGTGATGAACACAACCAGGCACTGTTTCCTGCCTCGCTGCTCTCCTGTTTGTTTCATCCTTTATGTTTGCTCGCTAAAAACTGAGCCATTGAAAGAAGAGAAGAAAAAAAAAATAAACCTCACACAAAGGTATAAATATCTTTCCCATTTGCTGAGAATGTATAAAGTATGTGTTATCTGCTGTGTTTGCAGATGGAGAGGATAAAGCGTGCTCCGTCCAACTGGCTGCTGTAATGGTGACCTGTGTGTGAGCCAGTTCATGTCTCTACAGCGTTCCTCCTTTCAGCAGGTGAAAGGCGTTGTAATTATGATAGAGGTGAAATGTGCCAGTGTGTGTTGCCATCTTCTCATCTAGCGCCAACATCGTCCACTGTTTGTCATGTAGTGAGGCCAGGCTTCGTCCAGTGGGACGATGCCAACCAGAGTTATTTTAAGTAGATCTTTAAATAAGCAAATACTCTCCAGTAATAGCCCGTCTGTGATCAACACCAGGTGCTCTACATTTCCAAAGTGTAGTGAATAAATCAGAGGAATAAAACTGGGCCATAGAGGGAGCAGAAACTTTCCTGACCCAACTATAGAGTATATATGTGAAGGAGATACCTGGAAAGGCAGCTCTAATATATTAATGTAAAACACATCAGCTTCTCTACTGGTTTATCATGGTTTATGTTTCTATTTACACTTATGAAAATGCAATAGGATTGGTTAGTTAATTTTATTTCCCCCTGAAATGATCTAAAGTTGTTGAAAACAGAGCTCAGCTTTGGAGAACTTCATCTGGTGATTATTATGAGGCTTAAATGAACAGACTGTTACGAGCCATTAATAGGCCACGGTCACTGAACATCCCAGGCTCTTAAATCAAACACACCCCTTTCACAGGGGAACATGCATCTCGCTGTCAGATTACAGTCTCAGGCTTTAATAGCCGATTACTTTTATGATTAATTACAGGAATTTTGGGTCAAGTCTTTATAGCTGGAGTCTCCAGACTTAATGGGGAGTTAAGGGATTAGCAGCATGGCATCAAAGTCACAGGTTTGCGTCTCTCCAGTCAGGATGGTTGGTGTTTTCAGCTAAACACCAACCTAATTGCTTTTGAAAAATTTAGGTTCGTTTTGACAAATTTATGAGACTTCTGTTTCAATAGTGATTATTGTAGTTGTGATTGTAGCTGGTTTTCTTCCACTACGTTATGAGAGGACATGAGAGGACAGGAGAGAGAAAGAAGATAGAAGACAGATAAAAAGAAGACTGCATGAGAGTGGAGGAAAACTGGAATACTGAGGGGAAGAACAGCTGAAGAGAAGAAAAATCTGAAGTAGTAAAGCAAAAGCGAGAATTCAGAAGCGAGTGGCGGCCTAGTTGTTAGGGCATAGAGCTTGGAATCCTGAGGTTCTGAGTTCGAGCCCCACTCCCACAGGCTGCCACTCTGGGTCTCTGAGCAAAGACCCTTAACCCCACACTGCTCCCCGGGTGCCACACAATGGCAGCCCACTGCTCCCCAAGTGGATGGGTTAAAGGCAGAAAGTTCATTTTTGTTGCTCTGTACTTGTGACAGTGTGATAACAATAAAACACTGGGAAAGAAAAAAGGGGAAGAAAAAAAAAATATATATATATAGATATACACTCACCGGCCACTTTATTAGGTACCCCATGCTAGTAACGGGTTGGACCCCCTTTTGCCTTGAGAACTGCCTCAATTCTTCGTGGCATAGATTCAACAAGGTGCTGGAAGCATTCCTCAGGGAGTTTGGTCCATATTGACATGATGGCATCACGCAGTTGCCGCAGATTTGTCGGCTGCACATCCATGATGCGAATCTCCCGTTCCACCACATCCCAAAGATGCTCTATTGGATTGAGATCTGGTGACTGTGGAGGCCATGTGAGTACAGTGAACTCATTGTCATGTTCAAGAAACCAGTCTGAGATGATTCCAGCTTTATGACATGGCGCATTATCCTGCTGAAAGTAGCCATCAGAAGTTGGGTACATTTTGGTCATAAAGGGATGGACATGGTCAGCAACAATACTCAGGTAGGCTGTGGTGTTGCAACGATGCTCAATTGGTACCAAGGGGCCCAAAGAGTGCCAAGAAAATATTCCCCACACCATGACACCACCACCACCAGCCTGAACCGTTGATAGAAGGCAGGATGGATCCATGCTTTCATGTTGTAGACGCCAAATTCTGACCCTACCATCCGAATGTCGCAGCAGAAATCGAGACTCATCAGACCAGGCAACGTTTTTCCAATCTTCTATTGTCCAATTTTGATGAGCTTGTGCAAATTGTAGCCTCAGTTTCCTGTTCTTAGCTGAAAGGAGTGGCGCCCGGTGTGGTCTTCTGCTGCTGGAGCCCATCTGCCTCAAAGTTCAACGTACTGTGCGTTCAGAGATGCTCTTCTGCCCACCTTGGTTGCAACGGGTGGTTATTTGAGTCACTGTTGCCCTTCTATCAACTCGAACCAGTCTGGCCATTCTCCTCTGACCTCTGGCATCAACAAGGCATTTCCGCCCACAGAACTGCCGCTCACTGGATGTTTTTTCTTTTTCGGACCATTCTCTGTAAACCCTAGAGATGGTTGTGCGTGAAAATCCCAGTAGATCAGCAGTTTCTGAAATATTCAGACCAGCCCTTCTGGCACCAACAATCATGCCATGTTCAAAGTCACTCAAATCACCTTTCTTCCCCATACTGATGCTCGGTTTGAACTGCAGGAGATTGTCTTGACCATGTCTACATGCCTAAATGCACTGAGTTGCCGCCATGTGATTGGCTGCTTAGAAATTAGGTGTTAACGAGTAGTTGGACAGGTGTACCTAATAAAGTGGCCGGTGAGTGTATATATATATATATATATATATATATATATATATATATATATATATATATATATATATATATATATATATATATATATATATATATATATTTTTTTTTTTTTTTTTTTCCTCATGTCACTGTCCTCTTTAGGGGAGGCAGAGCTCCTTAGGCCCTAAAAATCAGAAAGCCCTGATAACCACCCTTCAATCTCACTCCCAACCCAGAGACATAGTTCTACTTTTCTATGAAAAACAGGATTTATTAATTTTATTAATTTTAAGAAAATACTACCAGTGTTCAGAGACATATTCCTGGCTTTTACACTTGTATTGCTGCAAAATATTAATACACTTGTAAAGATAAAAGCATTAATGTCCCCGTTTCCTAATTTGATCTTGATGAAATGTACTTTTTTTCATCTACGAGTTGTAAATGTTTTTTAGATTTGATTTCAGAAATCTTTTTACATTACTGTAAGTTATAGTCGACAAAAAACAAACACTAAAAACAGCAGTAGCAACTGGAAGTTCTGTGCATCACCATTACTAACAACAATTTTCTTTTTTCTTTTTTATTAGATATCTTTAGACAGGTTTTATTCAGTCAAAAAAAGAAAATTTTAGTTTAAATTGAAACTTAGATGCCAGAAGGGTTTTTTTTTGTTGTAGATTTTTTAAGATCTATGCTATTGTTTTTTTTCCCCCCTCTGACACGTTGTGCAGCTACAGTGAATGAAAAATATTATGACTCCAACTAACAGTACATACAGTACATACAGTACCACATTCATGCTACCTATAAAAGCTAGCCTGATTATCGCAAACCTTTTATGGAATCAGCCAAAAGGACACAGATGTATTAAATTCTCATTTTGTGTTATTTAAAAACATATACACATAAAAACCTCTGCACACACATTTAGAATGTTTTATTTATGCAGATTCAATACCATTCAGCCCCATAATATATCACAAGCATTACTCCTAGCCCCTCCTCAGCTCTTCTGCTTTTTATTCTCCTGTATATTCTCATATCAACTTTTTGTCACTTTGAGGGTGGAACCGACCAAATAATGTAAACTTCTTGTTTGGCTACTTTTAAGTATATCCTGACCCTACAGTACTACGTTATTCCTGGTTGCTAGGAATGTTAGCAAAGCATTTTCAGGTTAAAAGCTATTCTCTTAAACATTTCAATATTGGTTAGGTGAAGTTATCGTTATATTACTAAGTTTATTCAGTCATGAAAGCGTTTTGACAGCCTTAGTAATATGCACTCAAAAGATTACTGTTAAATTTGGATATTCGTGTAAGCTAAGCTAACATTAACTACAATGTTTATATAGAGAAAAGTCAGGCTTAAATGAACTCTGGTTTACAGTTATATGCAAATATTTGCATTTCTAATCAGTTTGCAGCGACTGTTAGTAAGAGAGATGCTGTAAAGATAAAGAAAACAGACATATTTCGTGAAAAGCCCGGTGAAAAGTCGCTATATTGAGCTACTCGTCAGACCTCTCTAGCGCCTTTATTTCAGTAAAGTGCCTAATGCCAAATCTAGCACCTTTTTTCTGTATTAATGCAGACTTTGGCCACCACACAAAAGCACTGAACTCTGTCCTCCTGAGCGAGTGGATCTGTAATGCTATGTACGTACATGCAGCAGAAGCAGCAAAAACGCATGTGCTGCCTCATTTTTGATGCCTGTACAAATTTAGTTCTGACACGCAGCTGAAGGATCTTTTCTGCTCTAGCTGCACGGTCAAAAAGTTGGTCTGATGCGTGTTGGGTGGAACTACCCTATCCTTTTTTTTGCTTGTAACAATAGCAGCTATATTTACCGTGGGTAAAAAGTGGTTTTAATATTCTTTTAAGTGAGAAAGTCCACCTGAAAACTTCTTCTGTGCAGTCAGTTCATCAAGATTACGATCCTTCCCTTCAAGTATTATTTTGCTGTCAGAGCCGCTCAGACCCCCATACACAGGCGGTGTGCTGTCCCTAGGAATTCCGTTTAACAGCAGCCTCTGCCCTGGTCGCCTCTTTGCAGTTTTCCACTACTGTTTGTGGCAGCTGGTAGGTGTTTTTCATGTACGTAATGCAAACTGCAGGCACCAGAATAATAAAAACAAACATATTTTGCCAGCAGGTTTTGGCATTTTAAGTTAATTTAAGCGTTAAAAAACAAACTCAGGGGAGTGATCACAGCGATCTACATCAGCAGTGCTGTGTCTGCTACCCTGCAAGCTTCCAGATCAGCTTCTCTGATTGGTTGATGTGGTGCGTCGTGCAGCAAAAGTTCAATTTTTCCAACACCAGCAACTTGGCTGCTCAGACACGCTGCTCCTGCTGCTCAAAACGTGCTGCACGGATTTTCTGCGCATTGATGCACGTCAACCATTGATTTTGCATGTAAACTAGCTGCTTCTGCTGCTCCTGCTACGTGCGGTCTGAACGTAGCATAAGCCTGCCTCCTGCTCTCTCTCCCTCACTGTCCCCTGTCAGCATGCAGAGGAGGTTGCCTGCACCCTGCAGCAGAGAAAGAACCTTTACACTTGGAATCCAGATAGCAAATTAAATGCACATGTGCAAAACTGTTGCTAATCCTGCTTTAGGTTGCAAAGTGGTTCATGAAAATAATTCTTAAACTGACACAGTTGTCTCCCATAAAATAAAATCACTAGCTTTTTACTCTACCACCTCATTCTTGTGTTTCAGCGCTGTTTTCTTCTATTTTGCATGGTTCTTTTGGCACTTGGCAAACAGCAAACCACCACCAACTGGTATGGAGCGTGGAAGTAAATGTCTGATAATATGCATTTTGTTTACTTATTTCTAAGAGCAATTACTTTTAAATTCCCACTTTTCTCTTTCAGCTATGCCAATATCTCCCTACATTGCTTTGACAGAAAGACAAAGGAAAAAAGCAATTGGAGAGATTTTCCGCCCGATGCATGCAAATTATGTGATGGGTCATTTAGCACCTTCTGGCACAGCCAATAGCAAGTTTTCTGCTAAGCAGTTTGCAACACTGGATCCACCCTCAACATGACAAAACATTAATATGAGTCACAGAAACAGGTCCAAAGACGAATAGAAAAGAATCTACAGGAGCATAAAATGCAAGAGATCAAAGGGGCACGGGCTCATGGTTGTGGTATGTTTGGGGCCTTCTGGTATTGAATTTGCATGCATTTAAAATGTGTTGAATGTGTGTGGAGAGTAGTTTTTTTTTAATGAACCTTATCCTTTTAGTAGTTATGATGCATGTGAAATTTTGGCAGAATTCTGACCTCATAACCTTTGCCCTCTGAGCAGTACTCCCCCCGCCCGGGGAAAACGAGCGGATGGGGCATGTCTACTTGGAGCCGCTCCTAACAGGAAGAGCCTACTTTCTTTGTGCCAGCCTCAAATGTCTCAAATGTTGTTCAGCTTTTAGAAGTGACATAAAATAGAAGAAGTGTCTTCACTGTGAAGGCAAGTTTTCTCTTTGGGATTGGAAGAAAACAACTGTATATATTACAAAAGGCATTATTTTGTCTTTTGTATTTACCTAAATTAGACTTTTAAAGGCTTTAAAAATCATGATGTAGGATCTTTAACTAATTTTCCAGACTATTAGAGATTATAATACAGAGCAAAGGCACAAGTTTCCTCCCTGAGTCTTTAAGCAGTTGATCCTTTTATACATCATCTGTTATTTCTAGTGCTGATTATATAAACAATAATAAAAAATACAAGAACTTTAAAAGAGTCTTTTGGGTTATAAATCATATACATGGTCTGAAGCCTCACATACTTAAAAAAACAAAAAGTATCTAATTATCATAAAACTAACATTCATTATTAATATTATCAATCTTTTGCAAACTATAAAAAAAAAAAACTGAAGATGTGGAGAAAAAGCACTCAATGATTCCTGTAGAAGAGTCTTCTTTACCTGTTTGTAGAGCCATCCTCGGACCACCACTGGGACGTTAGGGTTCCGCTTGATAGATTGTTCTCTTTTTCCGAAGCTGTGGATTCTGCCAATGGAACGAGAGGCCTGCAATACATAAAACCAAAAAAACTAAGAACAAAACGATCATTCAATAAAACTTCAGTGTAACATAAAATTAGGTCTCTAACAATATAAGAGAAAATCTGATAATGTGACTTATGCTCTGCACTGTAAATAAAAATGTCATTACAGACCAGGAGGACAACACAGCATTTAGCATAGAAACTGTGGAGAGTTTCAAATACCTGGGTGTCCATGTCAATAACAAGCTGAACTGGACTCAACCTCCCGAGGAGGTTGAGATTATTATAATCAATAAAGACAATCAACAAATCAATCAATCAATCCATCCATCAATCCTTAGCAAGGTAATAAGTATTGTAATCAACAATACGATTTAAGGACAAATAAAAAACGGCAGCTGCTAACTTTTCAACATCTAATTCTACCAAAAAAAATATCCAAGAAGTTAAAGGAATTTATTATTAACACAATTTATTTTCACTCATACGACAATACAAAAGTAATCGGGTGTATCTTAGCTGAAAATACTAAACTTCCACATCTGTGTTTAAAAATGTTACGATCAAAAGCAAACAGGCTGATTTATTTTTTTTTTCCTGGGTGGAACATAATTGGTAATGGGCATCTAGGACCTAATCAGAGCGTTCAGTCTAACTTACAGCTGCACTGCACAGGCCTTCATCCACACCATCATTATCTTTTTCTTTTTCTTTTGACACCTCTCCTTTTCTGCCCCAATTGTTACCTAATTATAGTCATTACTTGACGACAGACAATTATCCACCTGATTTCTGTGACATTGACAGCCACTATTTCTATAACACTTGTCAAACAGAGACAAACCCCTCTCTCTATGTTGGCTGAGCGAGAAGAAGACTGTAGGCCTGGGAAGAAATGGTCAGTGGTTTGGATAAAACCTATATGGAGAATATTTTTACAGTTAACATAATAGAAAATTAGTCTGTGGGATTATTCTTATATTAGATATCAGGGACCGTGTGATGATGTATTGGCCCAAGACCTCTCCTCTAGGCCTTTCTAACATCTCTGTGTTTTAGAGATTTTAAATGGAACCTGATGAAAGTGGGTGCAGCAGGCCAGCACCAACAGAACAGCTTCAGATCCATTTTAAGAAGCACCACTTGCTCTCTCTACCTCTCTCTCTCTCTCTCTCCCCACCGCTCTTCTCCAGCTATTTCTGATTTTTGTTAAATAAGTTTCACTTTGAAGTTATCCCACTGCTACCCATTATTTTTTTATGGGTATAGAGCCAGGCCTGATATATTGGGGGTTCATCCGGGATTTAAACTCGAGACCTCTCGCAACCAATCATATCCATTATCACTCAATCTGTAGTGCCACTCAAAAGTAATTAAATCCGTTTTCTTTTTTCCCATTCAAATGCTAAAGTCTGAACATTTGTTCAAAAGTCTTTATGAAAAAAATCCAATGAAAGTCGTTTGTCTGGTTTTAATTCCCTTCTTTAAATTTTTCTCATTTCTCTAATGTGGTTTATAGCAACAACATCCATATTTTTGCTTGTTTATAGCAGTCCTTCAAAAATATCTTTTTTATGGCACCTTTTATTACCTCAGACTTTTGTTGAAAACTCGATAGCTGTAGGAAAAACTGTCCAATGTTAAACTATACAAAAATCAATTCAGTTCTTTCTTGAAAAAAAGATTTAAAAGAAAATATGGACCAAACAGAAATCAGAAAAGTATCAGAGGGCACATATCTAGGGGTCATTTTGATTTTGGACTCTAAACTTATGTTTGTTTAAAAAAAACATTCTAATATAAAATAAAATGTGGGAGTCAGCCAACATGAAAGAGAGTGAGTGAATAGCTCAGAATATTTTTAGTGGTGAGAGGTTCTAGTGATAAAAATGCTTCTACCCTTAAGCATTAGAGGAACTACTACTGTAATGAAGCAAACATGCTATTTATATGAAAGATAGCTGACAAAGAGCAAACATTCCTCTCTAAAAATAGCATGTGTCCAGTGAAATCCTAACAAATATAGTTGTCCTTGTAGTGGCGGTTGTAAGCTTAGGAGCTGTGGTAGAAATCTGAGACTAAACTTTGTGCAAATTTACATCTTATTAGCAAGTCTAGACATTGTGAGTTTAAACAAAGTCATGTCCTATGACACAGTTTAATAGGCAGGACAACACAGAGGCAAAAGAAGTCATTATTTGTCTAGATTCTTGATGCCACAACAAGCTTTATAACAACTAAAATACAAATTCTGAAAACAATCAATATATCAAGTACGCTGTTGCATTTAAACCAGTAAATCAGTGTGATAGGACAGATGGTAGCACAGTCCAAATGCAGGAAAGGAAATAATATGCAGGAACCAGGAAGCAGTTATAAATGAAAACAAAAAGAAAACCAATTACATCATTGATCAAAACTTGAGTTTCTGGAAAAGTTAACATTAAAACAGGTTTGCTTGGATTTGAACTCAAGTTAATAACACCAACTCAAGTCTTTAACTTGTTGAGGTCTCCTGATGACTGATTATACTAACCTTACGAAGATAGAAAAAAAAAATTCTCCCCATAACTCAACACTCCCCTGCGGCAACTTCAGATTCCCATTGTTAATCTCAAAATACTGACAATTATTTTCACTCTAATTTAAAAAAAACTTGAGGATATTGAAAAAGAAGCAGCTAATGGTAATTTTCTGTACAGTAAGGAGTAAATGATTTCAGTTGAGATACTAGTTTCATAAGTTTTAAGTTAATAAGAAAATTATTTTACAAATAGGTTTCCTCTGCCTCTGATTGTTATCTTTCAATTACATTATTTGTTTTTTTTTAATTATAGACTTTTATAATACCAGAATTTATACATAATTTAATATTTTTTCTCTTTATTACATTTTTATTTTAATATTAGATGTTATTATGAGTTATTGACTACCTGAGCAGCCTTTTTACCAAATTATTTTTTTTATTTGCTTGAATAGCTTCTTGGATGGCAAATTTCTTTTCTTTTTAAATATGATTATGTGGTGTTACTCAAGTTCAATTTGGACATGACGGCACTGAAATAAACATACTTCCGGACGGACCATGAAAAGCACATAACATCTCAAAGTTTTCTTTTATCTCCAAAGAAGGACTACATTCCCCAGCAGCCCAAGACTTAAATCTCAGAGGTGCAAACATCAACGCTAGACCTGTGTGTTTGTTTGATTTAAGTGTTGATGTCTGCCATTCCACAGCTACAGAGAAGCAAATAAACTCACTAATTAGAAAAGAGGCTGCTCGGCCAAGCGAGAGGACAATACACAGAGAGACTACAGTATAGTCACACTGTAAATATGCAGCATGTGTGTGTGTGTACATGTTGCACGTCGGCTGTTATCTGTGTGTGCGATGCGGTGGTCTATTTTTAGGCTGAGGGTAATTTTGTGGAACACGCAGTGGTCCCTGCAGCACAGCAGCACTCTGTCTTTTAGGTGATTGACTCAGAGTCTAAACAGCAACTTATAATGTGAGTGGCACACAATTAGGAAAGCTGAAAGCTGAGAGGGACCATCCCGAGACAACACTGCTACTACTTTAATTCCCTTGGGTTAAGTAATTAAAGAAGAGCAATGCTTTCTTGTCCCCTTTAGAACTCCATTATGCACTTACAGGAGTAGACACCTAATCGTTGGTTCGATCTGTGAACTAATCAAGGAAGCAAGTGTGGCATCATGGAGGGACTCTGTGTTCCTTCAACAGCTAAAACTACTGGCCAGGTGCCTTTATCTGTAAAATCTCTGTAATTAAACATGCCTCATTGTTAAACTGATGCACAATCAACAGCCAAACTATAACTTCAGCTAGACTTCCATTCCTTTTTGGGTTAAATTAGAAAAATCCATTCAAAGTAGATAAACACCTACTTTTCCTTAATCTGATCTAGGGAGCATCATAACCATTCACTTAAAAAAAGGAAAAGAAATTATGGAAAATCTGTGCATCTTTTTCATTAGACTGTTGTAGAACAGTCTTCAGTCAGAGACATCCCTAAGACCCCCGTAAGACAGACCACCAGAGAAGATCCTTCTTGTTTACAGCCATTCAGATACGTAGAAACCTCCATAATATGAGCTTCATCAACATTCAATTTCCCGTCAGGATCAAATTAAGCCGCTGTCACACCTTGAAGATTTAGAGAGCGTTTGCCTGACTGTACGAAAAATCTAGCAAAAACGCTGTCATATTTTGGATAAGATATGGGTACGTTTTATTATGAGCATGTTGAAGCATGGTGGAACACGATGAAACACGCTGGCACACGTTGACATTAGGGATGGGGATCGTTAATATTTATTGATATCGATACCAATATCGATACTGCTTATCGATCCGAGTCTTTATCGATACCACTATCGATACTTTTCTGTTATTTGGTGGAAAGACGATGCAACAAAATTTTTTTAACAGAACTGGTATTGCTTCTATTGCTTAACAAGTGAGCATAACAAAAAGGTTTCTAGCCTTCAATAAACATGGCTAATGTAATAGGCCACTTCGAAATGACATAAAACTAACTAGAATATATTTTCACAATTGTTGGTTAATGTATTGTCTACTGTCACTTTTCATCATGTTTTTAGTGATTAGGAAAATATTTAACACATAAATAATTGTATTTTAAATTAAATGTAATTTTTAATAAATGTTGGCATCAGTAGTTTAATTATATATTCTAAAATAGTTAGAGCAATATACAACTGTATTACTCATGTTTCTCGCCAAAAACAAAATTTCCCGTTTTCTTTACGTTACACTTGAACGCATCATGATAACCTAATTGTCGTTTTACTGAGCCAAGCTGAACACATCATCACGCAGCACGTCTGAAGCTTTATTTACTTTTCAAGCTAACTAGCTTGTATGCTTCCGATTACAAGACGGATTTCACAATTAATATTTTTAACTGACCAGACAAGCTACAAAGTCTGTGTGCGCGCTTAGCAGTGGTACTCTGAGTGGATGATGAAGACGGGCACGAC